GGAGGCAGAGACACGGGGAGAGAAAGGGGAGAGACTCCTTTAGGAGGAACCTTATCGATTCTTTGCTGTGCATGTATTTATTTGACAACGGGGCGGGGAGAAAAATTGAACATTATTGGCAGCCCTCCCTTAAGAGAATAAAGAAGAAGGGGAGAGAAAAACTAAGATGCAAATTGTGTTTTATCTTCACCCGGCTCCGTGCTTTAGCCCGTGTTTATGATGCATTATCTCCCCCTTGAATAAAATATAAATCATGTAAAATTAGGATCTCACAGCCAGCGAGAGGAGAAGCTCCGGTCGATTTTCCTAATTTCAGGCTGAAAGTGACACATTAATTAAAGCTCCTCTTCCCCTCCCCATTTATTATAATTATTATCAGATTTACCTTATATTTCCCCAATTCTTAGATAATAATAATAAAACAAATCAGTTTCGCTGCCCCTCTGTTTAAAGCTCAACTAAAATAAGGACTCACGCTTTGGGTTGGGGTTTTTTCCTGCCCCCCCCGCCCCCCCTCCCAACGCTGCCCATCGCTTTCCGCCATCAGATTCATTGTGATGTATTAGATGCAATAAATTATCCCATGTAACAAAACATTGGGAGCTGAAAGGGTGATAATCTGGAAAGCAGAGATAAGGATTCATTATTCCGAATCATTATGAATCCAACGTTGCCTCTGACTTCTTTCTTAATCAGCTCCTCTGATCCTGGATATGTGAGCAGCTCAGATAAGGAAAGAGTCATTTATAATTCTGTACCTCGTCTAATATTTAGGGAAAAAAAAAAAAAGAAGAGAGAGAAAAGTCAGAGGCAAGAAAACGCCATAAAACACAAGCAAGAGGCGGGCTCGGAATGAAATATCACTTCCATGCTGTTAGAGCCGCAGTGAGATTTAATTAAAATCCCCCACTTCCACGTGTTGGATGTGTTCTTATAAATACATTTTGCACCTTGGCTCTAGTGGATGGGAATTTGCAACCGGGGCGACTTGCTGGGGTCTGGCTTTGATTTGATTCCCCAGTCCCTCGTTTAGGGGTATTTTAGGGGTGTGCATGTGTGTAATTCCTGAGGTTCCCCCCCCATCCCCTCTGTCCCTCCCCACCGTTCACACAAAGTCATTAGGTCGAGCCTACCCGAATGCGGGAGGCTGCGTTTAATGGAAATCGTTTTAAAGCGAATTGAATACACCCCGCGCACACAAAGCCCAGGATCAATGCCAAAGCGGTGCCAAAGCGGCTCGTTTGGAGCGAGCAAGACGAAGGGAGCGTTCTACCCCTCCTTGGAAATGAAGATTACGAGGATGATATTAAATATAACCTGTCTGAGAACGTTTCACAGCCGGGGAGGGGGGAATTATTGATCATTGACGCTTTTGCTCCGCGCTAGGGGCAGAGAAAGGTGGGTTTTCTGTCAGAGCAGTTTAATTATAGCAAATAACCCGTCCCCAACCTCCTCCCTGCAGCCGCCGGAGCGGTTCTCACTAACAATACCGCACGGATCGTATTTATGGAAGGTCCGACTGCAAATCTGGGTTCAGGCGGAGCCTGATCGATTCTCTGTGTGTGTGTTTAGGTATTTATTTCGAGGTATAAGGCGGCTAAATGTGTGCCAAGAGGAGAGCGAGAGGTGGGATTAGCCACATGCGCTGGGAGAGCCACAGGCTCACCATGGAAGTTGGAAAACACACGGGGGGGGAAAGTATATATAATGTATACAAGATATATATTTTTTTCATCTATTGTAGAAAAAGCATATAATATATCATATGTGTGTAGTGTAGAATATATACAATATATTAATATGCTGTATGTGGAGTATATTAATATATTACATATGTGGAATATATGAGATATATAATAGATACGGAATATATATACACACGCGCACACCAATGTATAAATTCCACACAAGGAAAAAATATATGTGTGTGTGAATAAATAAATAAACACATACACAAACAAATATATATATACACGCATATATATGCATGTATGTATTTAAATAACCTCTGGCTACCTGGCTATTGCTTTTAATGTATATTGGGACCTAAACCGCAGGCATCAGGGAAGGTCTGCGATATCGCTGATAAACCCCGGGTGCCATTTAAAGCCTCATTAGTTATGTTTAACCTTTGAATCACCGGCCCTCAGAGCTGGAAATGAACTTCGCGGTGCGGGGTGAATGCAGAGACTGGGGGGGGGTTTGGGAGGTGTGGTGTGCTGTGTGGATGCGCCTGCGCCTGTGCCCGAATTCCCTCTTACCCTCCTCCCCACGCCGGGGGAATAGGGATTCCATCTCCATGGCCTTCCCAAGAGGTTTCTGCAGGAGGATCCTTGATTTTTCGTTTCCCCAGTTTCTACAGTGCGCTCAGATATCCCAGATCCAGTTCCCTCTCTCACACACCCCCCTTTCTTTCATTTATTATGTATTTCTGGTCATTCTGTGGGGGATCCGACATATTCCCCGTTGATCCCCCCTCCCTCCCGCAGAGCTGTTTTTGGGGAGCAGATTTCCCGCGGATTTTCCCTGCCCGGTGATGTAGAATACACACCCTGCCTAGTTTTAGCTGTATTCTCCTTTATATTTTATCCCATACCCCGTCAGGATTTAGCCCCGGCTCCTCCAGCCGGCTCCGTACAATCCGCTCAAGCCTCTCGGCTTTAAAACCCTGGTTTTCGAACCTTTTTCCTAGCAAAAAGCACGGGTTTAGAGGGGGTAGATGGGCTCAACCCGCCTGCCCAGGGGTGCCCGAGCTGGCTCCATAGGGGCTTCGTGGTGGGAAGGCTCCGGTCGCAGTTCTAATGAGCTTTAAGTTATTACCTTAATTGAATGGGTTTTCTAAAGATAGAATTGGGAGGCGATCGCGTTACCTTTCACCTCACAGGGAGTCACTCTAGAATCAGAGATAGCAACTCCCAGCGTCAGCAGAAAAAACCCAGCCCAACAATATCCCTCCGGGAGCAGGATTGTAATTATATATATGTATAATATGAATAATATTATCCAGGACTAATTATATATATAATTATTATTGTTTTCCCTAAGTTATCGATTTTCGACCCACTTTCTGAAGCCCCACGCACCCTCCTTAGTCCTGGGAACAAAACATTCCTCGTTTATTCCCATGGAAGCATTTTATGCCAGTGGTGGAAGTGGAGTGTAATGTTAAATTGGGGTAAGGGAGGTGTTTTTCTCCCCTTTCTTCCCACTTTTTCCCCCTTCCATCCCGGTAAGCGCCTGCCCACGCCAGTAGTTCAGTGTGGGCGCTCCGGGACGTGTTTTCCATGGGGAAGTTCCCCCCCAAGCTGGCACTGCTGGGTTTTGCTGACAGGATCCCCCCTTCCCCACGAAGTGCATTGCAGAAATGAGCACAAATCCTAATAGTAAAACAAGAGCATCACCAAGGTGGAAGTTTGCTCGGTGGGGGCACACTGAGGCTGCAGCATTAGGGTTTGGGCACAAACACGAGTTGAGGGGCGTTAAAAGCTTCATCTCTAGCTCCTCTTAGCTGCAAGATTTGGGGCATCCCACGAAGCCTGTGGTGGCCCTACAGCATTTGGGGGGGATAGGGAGGATCTTCCCTTCCCAGCCCCCGAAAGCCCCCAGGTCTTCGGGGGAAGGGGCGGATCGGGACAGGAGACTGCAGTTCGTCCAATTCATTCTGCAAGATCGGCCCTGGCTTCGAGCCCATCCAGCTCTGGAAGCACAGACTGGGATAGTGGGGGGGACACACAGACCCTCGGGCTGGGACCGACCCCCGAGGTCGGTGTCTCCTGCAGAGGAGCCTTCCTCGTCCCGATGAAGAGGAGGGGGACAGGGCAACAGACCCCCCCTGAGCTTTCCAAATGCCAGGGGATGCGTGTGGATTGGAATTCTGGGTTTAGGGTGTTGGTTTTTTTTTATGTCGAAATCCAGGAGCCTTGCACCAACGTATATTTAAGAATTAATAATAATTAAAAATAAATAAATAAAGGAAAACAGGAGCAATAAAAGTCCCTCCCGAAGAAAAGGGGGGACAGAGGAGGAGAAACAGCCCATAATAGCTAATTTCACCGCTTTTCCTCAAAAGCTTTCGATGTAAGCGGAGCGGGCTCCGGCGTTATTTCTATCACCGTCAGCTTAGTATTTGCTTCCCTCCCTCTTCCCCCCCAGTCTCTGTCTGTCCCCAGGCACTGAAGGCTCCCGGCAGTGACAGTCGCTCCCGGGACAGGTCGCATCACGCTCACACCGCTGCTAGCCCCGGTACCTGGCCCTGCCCCTATCCGTCCCCCCCGCTTCTTTTCCCGCCCCCTGTGATTCCCGGGAGGGGTGTGTAAAGAACCGGCCCATCATATTCCTCTCACTCCTTCTCTGCCCTTTCCCAACCCGGAAGAGCTCTGATCTTCAGCCCAGCCCGGAGGAGGAGGAGGAGGAGGAGGAGGGTGGGCTTTTGGAGGATGCGGCTCCCCCAGGTTTTCCCCCTCGGAGGGAGCTTGCGACATGCCAGCGCTGCTCCTGCGCTCCTGCCCTGAGAGCTCCACCGGAGCGGGACTCCAGGAACCGCCTCTGCCCAGGTCAGTGAATGCCCTAACCCGGGTGCCTGCATCTCCACCCCCCACCCCCCCACCCCTCCTTTCCTTTCTTTAATTCTCATTTTCTTTATTTTTTATTATTTTAATTCCTTCTTTGCCTCCTTTCACTCCTTCGCCACGTGGAGATCGGGATGGGGATCTCGGCTCGAGGGCTTGAAACCCAACCCGTCGCCTCCCCCCCCCCTTTTCCTTATTCCTTAGGGGGAGAGTTGGGTTTTCCCGGTGACCTTGGAGAAAGGCACCCCCCGGCTAGGGAAAGACAGGAAATTTGGGAAGCGGGTGAGAAAAAGCTGTTTTTTTCCCCGGGTGTTAGGGAAGGAGCGAGGCTGGGATGGTCGCGGTGGGAGCCGGGACGCGTCACTGTCATCGCTGGATTGGGAAATGCTGATCTGAGGACGGGAAGGGAATTATCTGTGCCTGGCTCCCTACCTATGTGCAGATCCCTCTGTATGTACAGACCCGAGGCCCCTATGAGCGCAGTGATGTCCGTGCGTGCGGGATTCCGCTCTTCCGCGCTCTCCCCGCGGTTCATACTCAGCGATGTTGATTTGATCACGCTAGCTCTCTTTGTGCTGTAAAGGGCATAATTTATACAATATTTTTAGTACTATCTATATTCGCTTTAAAAATATCTACTAGATAATAGACAACGCTCGTCCTACGCTTCTAATAGGCTCTAATTAGGGCAATCTTCCGCCCCGCTCTGCTCATATTCCTTCTTATGCCTTATAAACCTAAGCCCCAGCCGCGGAGGGCAGATGCGCTGTTAAGGAGGATGAGATGAGGAAGAGGGGCCTCGGCCTGAGTCCAGAACCCGTCCCCGTACCCCTCGGGGGTACCCCCGGGCCGGGCTCCGGCAGAACCCGGAGGACGAGGGGAGAGTTTCGCCTCTTTCCAGGCTCTCCTGGATTTAGGTCTTGCTTTTCTTTATCCTCTTGTAGGAACATTTGCAACCCTCCAGGTTGGGCAGGGAGTATTCCAGGATAGAGCTTGGAAATGGCTTGGGCTGCCCAGAAACGCGCGTTAACGTCCTTGGGCGCCTTTAAAACAGAAAGGGGAGAAAATACTTTATCTATCTATCTATCTATCTATCTATCTATCTATCTATCTATCTATCTATCTATCTATCATCTATCTATCTATCATCTATCTATCTATCCATCCATCCATCCATCCATCCATGTACCCATGCACCCATTCATCCATCCACCCATCCCAGCTCCTCTTACCTTCTCTTCTCAGTACACAAGCAGCGGGCTCCGGGTGACGGATTTGAATGCAACCGGATAATTAACAACCACCGGCCCAGCTTGTTTTACTCCATTAGGAAGGTCCGTCCTCCCTCCCGGCACTTTGCTCCTGGCTGGGGCAAAACGCTTCCTTATCCCGGGGATTTTATTATTATTGTTATTATTTTGCTTTAATTTGACTGCAGACACGAGTGTTTGAGGTTTAGTTTTTAATTTCAAGTGTGAAAAAGAGAAGAGGAAGGGCTTCCTGCTGGGGCAGGGAGAGAGCGGGGTAATGCAGGGAAAACAGGGCTCCGGTCCCCCCCGGGATGCAGGCAGCACCTCCGCTGCACTGGGAGAGGGCGGTAATTGCCTACATGGGCCCTTCAGGGGAATTTGGGGTGAAATATTCCCCTCCTCAGAGAGAAATCGCGCAGATTTCACCACGATGCTCGTACAACCTGGATTTGGGAGCATGGGATGGTAAACGTGAAGCACTGTGCGAGGCGGCCGTGCCGGGTTACACCTGGAGGGATGGCTCTGTGGACAAGGGGGGTTATTTGGGGGTGCAGGGACAGTTCTAAAGTAGCTGGAGCAGGACGCTTCCAGGAGTAAATGACTCCGGTTTCAATCCCGGGAGGCTGAGATATGCCCCTGCTCCTGGCCAAGGAAGTGGGGGGTGGTAAATCAGCCGCCTCCTTTCACACCAACCGCACGGCGATCCGTGTTTTCTGCTGTCTCTAAATCCCAGCGTGATTCCTGCTTTTGGGGAAATAATAGGAAAATTTAGAAGAAAAGCCATTAAACCCGACGCCAGCTTCACCTTTTCGGTTGGGTGCGAGGGGAACGGCGCAAGATCGGGTTTAAAGCGAGACGCATTTTTGCCTTCGCTTCAAATCTATCGCTGGCAAAAAATGATGATGCAAACCCGAAAATAAACCTACCCTTCTTACATATATAAATATATACATATGTAACTTATATTTTAAATGCTAGTTTCCTCAATCTCCCCTTAATTTGGAGTGGATTTCTAGGGATTTTCCTGCTTTTTCTTGTCCCGTTTGTGAGCTCACCGTGCGATCGCCTCTACAGGAGCGCTGCCCAAGCTCAGCCCCGGGCGGGCAGGAGCAGCAGCAGAGACCCGCGCAGCGCAGCGCGGAGGGGTGCGGAGCTTCTCCGCGCAGCTGGGAAAGAGGGGAAAAGGAGGAAATAGGGGGAAAAATAGAGGGGAAAATTCAAGTAAGAAGGAGAACGCCGTTCTAAACAACACCTTTGGTGTCTGAGAAAGGGAAAGGGTGGCCGGGGGAGCAAAGGAACTTACCGTGTTGAGCTGGAAACTACGGAGGGAGGCACGGGAAGAGGAAAGGAGGGTGGGAAGGGAGCAGGAATCTGCCTCCCGTCCCGGAGCAGGACGGGGCACCGGCGGCATGGGGGAACACGGAGGTTTTCCCCCCTTCTCCTCCTCTTTCTCTCCCCTTGCCTTTGCCTCCGCCGCGCAGTTCGGGGAATGTGTCGGGGGCGAGAAGCCGCCTCTGGGACCTGCGGAGCCGGTTTTTGATCTCTCTCAGCCTCTATTTTTTTTTAGCAGTGTCCCGGGGCAGTCGCCCTCCCCTCAGCTTCAAAGGGAGAGGGGGGGGAGGGAGGCAGAGGAGGGGAAAGAAAAGTCCCAGTTTCTCTCCTCCCAATTTTAATTCTCCGAGTTTCTCCGGCAGAACAGGGTCGCCCCCATCCCCACCCCATAAAATAACATCATTTCTGCTGGAAAATAAAGTGTGTCTGGAGCGGGGGGGTTGGTGCACGAAGGGAGAAAAGCGTTGGACCCGGTGCAATGAGCCGCTGGTTTGCTCCCGCTCCGGATTTGCATGGCTCCGGCGCTGCTTTGTGTGTGCGTGTGTTCGTGTTTCCTCCCCATCTTCGCGGAGGGGAGAGAGATGAATAACGAGAACGGAAATATGCATGTAGATATTAAAAGAAAAGGAAAAGATAAAACAAAAAGGAAGAAAAACCACCCATGTGGCTGGTTTCAGAGCAGGGGGAGGTTGCATGGGGTGCGAAAGGGGAGATGCAGAAATGCGGGTGTAGTGTCTCCGTCTCTTTTTCTCTCAGATGATGATGATGATGATTATTATTATTATCATCATCATCATTATTATCATTATTATTATTGCCAGCCCCTATCTGCAAGGATGGTGATTATTCTTTTCCACTGATAAAGAGAAGGAGGGGGGGGTGGCCGTGGGGAAACAGCTCCTAATTCCTGCCTGATTCGAGAAGGAAAAAGAAAAAGGGAAAATCTATTCCCTCTTTGTTTAACCCCAGATTATCTCAGCCGCATTAACAGGGCCCGGCAGGGGGGGAGGTCCAAAACCGGGTCCTTTTTCCTCGGAGCCAGTTGCTGTACACAGACAACAAAAATATTCGATAATACAAGTAAAAAAATGAAGTAACAATCTTGGGAGCTCTGCCCTGGGCCGTGTCCTCTCCGTAACCCCCCGATTCCTCGCTCCCGGCTGTTTGTACAGCTTTACCTGTCCTGTTCTGGTACCCTGGAAAAAACCAGCCCGGCAAACGTAACTTAATCCGCTTTCAGTCAATTGTCGTCTAAAAGAGGGTAAAAGAGGGAGGGGGGGTGTGTGTTTGTCTGCCTATTCGAGCCCCGAGGTGCCACTCGCAGCGATGGGCACCGATGGGGACAGAGGCAGCGGGTGGCCCTGGGTCCCGGCACCAGAAAATGCTCCCTAAAAACCTATTTTAATAGGGAGACCTGGAGGAAAAATGGGGGGGGAGCTAAGGCAGCTTTAGTGCCCTTTGGTCATTTTTAAGGCAGGGGGAGGCTGGGTAACCGCCCCATCTCCCCAAGTTTGGGTGGGTTTGATTATTGCATTTAATTGTCGTTGATTTGATTTATTTAATCATTTATTTCCCCTCTTTTGGGGGACTTTCAGTTATTTTTGGTCAAAAGCGTTTCCTCCTGACTTTTTTAGCACCAGAACTGGCCTCATTTTCTTCGCAGACCCCGCCATCACTCCCCTATCTAGGAGGGATGTTGGCTTCCTCCCCCCCCCATTACCCCCGGCAGAATTAACCCCCGAGCCCCCGGGCCTTATCTGGCGGCTGGTGGCCAGCTTGGGGCTAATTGCTCCAACAATGGGCTCCTCTGAAGGCCGAGCTGTCACTGGAAACCCTGAGGGGGGGGGGGGTTGAGGGGTGGGCAGAGGGGCTGGAGCTGCAGCCACAGCCTAGGAAAAGGACGGTCAATGCCAGCGCTCCTCGGGATCACAGATTAATACGGGGGGGGGGGGATGATGGGATTGCTTTTCTCTTTCTCTTTATTTCCTCTTTTCCACCCACTTTTTCTTTTTATGAAGGGGGTGTTTTTGCCCTCCCCATCGCTCTTTCACCCCCGGCTGGGGAGGGGATAGGAGCAGCGCGTCTGTTAGCGTGATAACGCAGAGAAAACGACAAGCGCAGGAAACCAGATGTGAAAGCGACTGTTCTCCCCCCAGATTTGATGCTAGGGCTGCGAGAGGCAGGCGGTGCGCAGGGTCCCGCAATGCCACCCTTTAACCCCCCGCCCGTCGGGGCAGGACGGGGCCCTCGGCGCTCTTCCCACTTCTTCCTCCTTCGCTATTGATCAGACTTGGTGTAGCTATATGTGTTTTAATTATATATATATATATATATATATTATTACTTTATTTTATTACGTTTTATTATTTTATTTTATTTCTTATTCCCTTAAAATTCATTATTTCATTTCATTTTCTTATATTTTGACATAATTCATTTTACCTCTCATTAAACATTCCGTACCCACCAAAGAGCTGAAGGAAAACGGTTTTTCCCTACCCCCGGACAGGGAAAGGCACATTTCTTCTCTGCTTCAGCAATTTTGTGACCTCCAGAAGGAAATTCCTCTCGTGTGGTCCCACGGCTGGAGGTCCCAGGGCTGTAACTGCGGATGGAGGGGGATTTGGGAATCTCAGCTCACCTGGCCCAAAATTCCAGCTTGGCACTAAGAATCCACCCCCCCCCCCCCCCCCCCCCCCGTACCCATATGTTAAAAGAGATTTCTTTTTAAAGCGACTTTTCCCAAAAGCTGGAGACCACCCTCGCCCGCAGGGTCTGCGTGGGAGCTGGGGAAGTTTGGGAAGCGGGGATAAAGAGGCAAATCCCAGGGAGACGCTTCGTCCTCCCGGCCATAAAACGCTTAAATCTGGGGTCGGGGAGCGGAAAGGTTGCGCTCTTGCCTGCAAAAAAAATCCATTTCTCCTCTCCCGTGCGCCCCAAGAACTGGAGGGGATCACCCTGAATTTTACGACTTCTAATACAATGGATACATAAAGGTGCATCCCCACGGAGGAGCGCGATCCCTCAGCGCTCTGTCCCCACGGACGGCCAGTACCGGGGGCTTAAAACCGGTTTAAAAGCCGGTTTTAAACAGGGCGCAGGGACCGGAGCTCCCTTCTGGCTGCTCCCCTCCGCCGCCCGTCGGGGCTGAGCCCAGCCTGGCGCTGGCCCCGCCGACCGGACACTGTGAGCGGACACCGGGGAGCGGCAGCTTCGCGGAGCCCGGTTCCTAATTAGCTCCCCCCTGTATAAAGACTCCAGGCAGACGCTTTCCCAGCAGCCAGGCAGACGTGAGCAGACACGGCGCGTAAAGGCACCGTGAGTGATTTTGTCTAATCCCTTGTACTTGTTTTCCCTCTAATCATTATCATTCCCCCCCTTTTATTTCTCCCCACTTCTCCCCCTTTTTTCTTCTTTTCCTTTTTCTTTTTACTTTTCCTCTCCCGCCTTTTTTATTTTTTCTTTATTTTTTTCATTTTCTTTAGTCTTTCATTTTCGTTAGTCTTCCTTTCCTTCCTTTCCTTTCCTTTCCTTTCCTTTCCTTTCCTTTCCTTTCCTTTCCTTTCCTTTCCTTTCCTTTCCTTTCCTTTCCTTTCCTTTCCTTTCCTTTCCTTTCCTTTCCTTTCCTTTCCTTTCCCTTTCCTTCCCCTTCCCTTCCTTTCCTTTCATTTGCTTAGGTTTTCCTTTCATTTTCTTTAGGTTTTCCTTTCCTTTTCTTTAGTCTTTCCTTTTCTTTAGTCTTTCCTTTTCTTTAGTCTTTCCTTTCCTTTCCTTTCCTTTCCTTTCCTTTCCTTTCCTTTCCTTTCCTTTCCTTTCCTTTCCTTTCCTTTCCTTTCCTTTCCTTTCCTTTCCTTTCCTTTCCTTTCCTTTCCTTTCCTTTCCTTTCCTTTCCTTTCCTTTCCTTTCCTTTTTCCCTTCCTTTCCTTTCCTTTCCCTCCTCTTCTTGTTCTTCTCTTCTTCTTTTTCCCTCCTCCTTCTCTTCTTTTTCTCTTCTTTTTCTTCTCCTCTGTCGTTCTCCCCTTCCCTGTCGTTATTTCCTCCCTCCTCCCCCCTTTCCCCTCTTCTCCCCCCTCCTCTCTCCCCGTTTCCCTCTCCCGTCTCCGGTCCCGTTCCCCCCTCCCCAGCCCCGCTGCCGCTGCCCGGTGCCGCCGGGGCCGCTAGGGGATGCCCTGGCTCAACGCAGCGCCCGGCCGGGCCGGCGGGGCTCGGGCCCGCAGCCAATCAGCGCCTCCCGGGGCCGGCTCCCCAGGTCCTGCTCGCCCCCCATTGGCTGCGGGCGCGGCGGCTGCGGCCCCTGATGGGAGGTGGCGGGGCCGGGACCGGGGTTGGGACCGGGGTTGGGACCGGGGCCGGGACCGGGGTAGGGACCGGGGTAGGGACCGGTTCCCCCCAGTCTCCTCCGCCCACCTCGGGGCTCAGCTCCCGCTCCCCTTCCCCAGCTCCTCGCCTTGTCCCGCATTGGGATCTCCTGCAACACGTGAAAGAACCCACCCCAAACGGCCCCAAAACCCCCACACGCCGCCGTTCCCTGCGCGGATGTCCTCACTAATAACAATTAAACCCTTGACGAGACGGAGCCGCTCTAAACCCGTCCCGGAGGTCCTGCACCTGCCGGTACATCCCGACTCATCCCGGCTGCTCCCGGGGGGTCTCCGGTCTGTCCTGCCCCTGCCCGGGATGTTTGCAGGAGAAGAGACCCGGTCCCGTCCCCACCGGGGCGGGCATTGGCAGAGTTTGCCGGCGAGGGGGAAAACTTTTCCTCCTTAGGAAAGGGGGGAAATTAATTAATTAAAGAGAAAAGGGGCGGGGGGGGGGAAGACTCAAGGTTGGTCCAAAGGGGTTCCGGAGGGGGCGGCCGGTGCGTCCCGCCGGTCCCCTCCTCGGGCGGGGACAGGCTCCGCCTCCCCCGGGCTTATGACACTGGAACCTCCTTAAGTTGCGTCTCGCCGCAGCTGTCTGTAAGCGCTGAGCCGGCTGGCGCCATCCTGCTCCTTTCCGAAAGAATGCCTGCCCTGTGAAAAAAAAAAAAAAAAAAAAAAGAAAAAAAAAATGAGTGAGAGAGGGAGGAAAAAAAAATAGGGAAAAAAATAGGGCGAGCGAGGGAGCACAATCTGATCTGATCGAGCACTTTCAGCTTCATCCCTCCCGGGTCACACACTGCTTCTCCGCCAAGGTTTGTGCGCAATTTCTTTAGCAACTTGTCGCTTTTTTCCTCTTCCCCCCCCGCCCCTTCCCCCGTTCTCCTTTTCTCCTGCACCCACACCCCCTTTCTGCATCGCTTCCCCCCCCCCTTGCATTCCCCTCTTCTCCTTTCTCTTTTCCCCCTTCTTTCCCCCTTTCTCGGTTTCATA